AGTCGTGTTCGCTCGATAGAACCTTTTCTGAATCTGTCGCTCGATCCCCGAATTTTTCTGGAGTCCGCAGTGACTCTCCTGTATTGTGTTGTGTCTCCTCGAACGGCTGGAGATCTAGTCGTATTCGCTCGATAGAACCTTTTCTGAATCTGTCGCTCGATCCCCGAATTTTTCTGGAGTCCGCAGTGACTCTCCCGCCAAGTGCAAGAAGGCACACTGATTGGTTTTCCACGTACGCACAAATTACCAATCAACGTGCCCCTTGAGTGTCACCCACCCTTCCATTGCGCCCTTAGCGCGCTTTTCCTTGGAAGGAGTGGGGCCCTACCTGCGGGTGCGTGGAATCTTCGCTGTCCTTCGGTGACGCGTCGGAAATTCAGGAACCCTGGTTTATGACACGTCTTCGGTTATCGAGGACGCGGAAAAGTCGAAATTCTAAAGGCATTGTTCTGTAAGAAATTACTTATTTTTTCGAGGAGCTACGAAGCGTCTCTGTTCTCAAAAATAACCTTCTCGTGCGAGCGTGCCATATCGTACCTGCGCGACGGAACACATTCCATCACCCGGAATCCAACAACATGACTGAGGCTTATGATATATTGAGAAGGTAATTACAAGGGTAAAAAAGATATTTTACTTTGTTTCTGTGGAAAGCTTATGCTTATAATACCTACGTTAATGGTAAAATGTTTTACATATGACTTTTTTTAAGATACACTTTCCCTGACACATTAAACATGATCCAATTTTCAGGACATTAAGGATCATGAAATTTCACCAACTCTGACGGCCTATATCTCAGTAACCAATCAATATATTTAAAAAATTCAAGTGGCATTTAATGCACTGATATATACATCTGTATATAAATCTGCTATAGTAGCAAAAAGCTGCTATATACTTCGAAAATTGAATTTTGGCCAGCTTTTCGAGAAATAGCACCACTGTGTGACGGTGTTCCTGCTTATTACCTGCTTGTGCCGCATTAAATGAAAACTTTTCCAATTGTTGGATTAGACGAGGTGGGCGCGTTAAATTTCTACCGAGGTCACCGGATCTGACACCATAAGATTGTTTCTTATAGGGACACTTAAAAAACAAGGTTTGCCAAAAAGAGCCAACTTCTCCATACGACTTAAAGTAAAGGATTCTTCAAGAATGTTAACAAATTTCTAAAGAAATGCTATGACAGGCATTAGATCATTCAGAGATCGAATAAATCTCCGTACTCCAGCTGAATTATGACATTTTAAGCATCGATTGTAAGGAGGCAAACATCGTTGGTATTACTGCCATTTCGTAATAGTAAAATTAAAATATCTCATAAATTAACGACGTTTGGCATAAAAAGGTTAATAATTTTTTATAGAGAATAATGAGCTGCATCCATTGAGGTATTAAAAAATATATGGTCCCATTGAGAAAAATTAAGATGACCTTCGTATGTCCTCTAGGTTTCTACCTCCAGAAAAGCTATCGACATCAAATTATGTCCCTCTCGAAATCATTTAACTTTTGTTCGAAACATTTTCCGATATTACGAACAGTTTCGGAGATATTCGCAGGGATCGATTTAAATGGGACACCATGTATATATTTTTCTTTTTATCGAATTTTGTGTGGAGATATTAATTTTTCCGTGGACAATCGGTGAAATTCGCCAATTATTCGAACGTTTATGAAAATTTGTACTGCTTTCAAAACGACCAGTAACGAGCAGAGAATGCGTCAGAAGAGAAAACCCCCCTTCCCCTAGGTGAACAA